TGGATGCTGTATGCATATGAAAATTTTTGCTATGAAACTTTTGCCTCGAGGAGAAAACGAAACCTGTCAAAATGGCAATCAATGATGCATATAATCTTACGAAGTTAACACTTCTTGTATGGACAAATCAAAAAAAAAATATTTACGCGCCCGCTTTGCATTAGCAGATTCGAATTGAAAAGGACTGTAAATAATACATATACTCGAAATCACTTTCCTGTAATCTTATAGTTTAATATGCCAAAAGACACTGAATTACAAGAACTTTCTCTTTTGCGTTAGGAGAATAAATGGAAATGAACTCTTAGGAATAGGAGTAAAAACTGTTAAGTTACCGTTTTTAGATAAACTTTGAAATTTATTAGGAGATAAAATGTAAGAAATACGAATATATACTGTTTGATAAATAAATTTAGAAAAATGCAAAATTATGGATAATATCTTTTATCCATAATTTAATGCTTACTTCTTTATTTCTTATAAGCACAACATAATCATCGTATTTTATCACTGTGCTAACTGAAATTTTATTTCACTTTCTTGCAACTGAAAATTTCTTATATTCGAGTTTCTCATGGCAGGGACTGATTGTATTACAGAGAGGGAAAAGTGTAATATGAAACATTTTGGGTACTAGGTATTTCTAGTGAGAGATATTCAACTTGCACTGTACTGTGCAAGTTTGTAAGTAGGGTAACTTACACAGGTAGAAAAAAGGAGAGAGAGAGAGAGTATGATTCAGTTTAATGAATAGGAAAATTTTTAAATACATTTTTATTTCAGTGTTAACTGCACACAAAAAGTAATCTACCTAAGTAGAAAATTTCAATCATATGCTGTACCTAAAGTTAGCGGATGTCCCAAGTTCTGAGGGACAGTCCTGATAATTAGCATTGTTTCCCATTTTATGATATGTCTTGAAAAATGTCCCAGGTTTGGAAAAATATTTGTAGATTTTGTAAATAGGCAATATAAATTTCGATAGTTTCCTTCCATTGGATTAGAACAGAAATCCGTTCAAATAACTGGGTATTTTAGATATAATCTTTAGAGAAATTACGTAGTCTACAAAAGGAGTGGTTTATGAAAGAATTTTAGGATTTCTAACCAATTATATTTCACAAACAGTGCAATTAAATCATTCATAGAACTTTAAATGGACCACTTAAAATACAGAATAATAAAACCAGAAGAAAAGCTTAACATTGTAGAAAAGTACTTCGACGAAGCAGAGTTATTTGATAACAAATTGTTGGCGAAATATTATACTTTCAAGACTTATAACAGCTGAACTATTAAACAATTGTAGATAATTGTATCGAAATGTAAAATATAAATTGGGGTGAATGGATGTTTTAATGCTCTAATTCACTCCTTCTAAGCTTTTCCCTAGCCACGATGTTTTTCTTCAGATCACGAATTTTGTACTCATGTTCATCTCAAACCTATACCATAAATAGCTAAACTAGGTTTCTTGGGAACAAATTAGCAAAATAATGTGATTTTCTATAATAAATAATTTAAGAATGGTGAAAAGAATTCCAACTAAATGCTGAAATTGTGAAATCACAAAACCTTACATTGCTAACTGGACGAAAAATTTAGTCAGTTGATAAAAGAAGAAAAGAATTCTTGAAAATACTACTCAGTGAAAATAAATAACGCAAATTTTAATAATTAAATATTAATGAATAAGAATAATTCGAGTATAATTTTTCTTTCTTCCATCTCCATCTTCTCTTCCTTATCAGCAAAATTGTCTCGAACTGGTTTCCGAAAAGGCTAATTACTTTAACTAAAATTAATGTTTTCCCCAATTATGCCTAATGTCTACTGATTATACAACATGCAATATTTATCATCACTAGAAGTTTCTTTCTTAAGTCCCCCAAAATATTATTAGTTAAACATCTCTCATGAAGCAATATACAAATCATCGTTTATTTTCGATTTACTAATCAAATAACCATAATTAAATCTGTTCAGGAAAAAAAAAAAAAAAAACCGTAAAAGTATAATACATACATAAAATCTTGAATTTTCACCTTTCAGATTTAAAGCTGATACCTAACAAATTTCATAAACCAGTAAGAGCTTTTCCAAGCTGCATGATAAGTAAATCTAATAGAATAATAAATTTTAAAATTATGTTATTGGTTACTAAAAATTTGAAAATATTTTAAAGATATTTTTCAACTTTCATATTTTGCTACATGCATTGTTGGACTTTGGTAGACAGTTTAAGTCATAATGCTGCGTGAACATGTCACAACTGTGGTGACATTGTCATTTATTTTAGCCGGACAGGATATTAGACGTTTTCCGGAAACATCACATCTTTCATATATTTAAGATAAAAGATGCAAATACAACGCTGATGTAGTGATTTTAAATTAATTGAAATAATATTATTTTTCTTTGACATAAATATGATTTTGATTTAAAAAAAATCACTGAATATCGCTAAGCTCACAGATATTTATTCGCTACAGGAAATTTAATTTGAAAACCCGTTTAAATATGTTTATGGTTTTCAACAACATTTGGCATACATAAAAGTTTACAATAGACTTTTCCTATTTAGCTACAACATCCCAATTTTAATATAATATTTTTCCTACCTACTTAGATACTCTTATTTGATAAACTGATATTTGAAGCTCTCAGATGCATATTACCGCACAGTAAAAGTATTTACAAAATTGTTTCACTTTTACTGACATTGTTCACTCAAGACTGACAGAGTATTCTTAAATGTCCAGTAAATTTTAACTTATATTATATTATTATATAATAACTTATATTATTATATTATTTCAGCACATCTTTAGATATCTCAAAAAATGCAAATCAGTAATTCGTTACACTTACGTTTTAATGTAATTCTAAACGTTTTCTTCGTCTTGTCAATGTTTTTAGATGCACTACATAATATATAAACTTTCTCGCATACAATACCTACTTTTAGCAAAGAAGCAGTGGGTGTTTTGGTTCTTATGAAAAATATGTTGTAAATAAAATATATCATATACAGAATTTCGTTTTCTAACAAAGCCAAAAACATGTCTTTCACTAATTTGGCTCCGTTTCATAAAAAAGCTATTTATTAATATAAATACTTGCCAAATAAACAAAAAATATAATTCGAATTCATATGCTGCATTTGATTGTGTTACAACAACTCAACCTCAGGGTATAGAATTTAACTGATTTTTATTTGGTTACAGAATCTTACACTGGTTTAGCTTCGCTTTTACAAACATTAATCTAACAGAACTATTGAAATCTTAGAAGTAGAAATAATTGTTATTACTGCTTTTATTTTCGGTTATTAAAGCGCGTTTTTAAGTAATATGACGCTGTTTAAATGATGACCAAATGGGAATTATTTTCACATGCAGTATTATGTAATGTTGCATCAAATATTTATCGATTGTTCAACAAAACAGCAAAAGATTTTATGCTCATGTATTTGTTGTTAAAAAGACTTGTAGAAACAATCTGATGCAGTCTTTTAAATAAATTTTCCCCATTTCGTTACCAGATTGTAATGTTTGGCTCTTATATGAATTATAATTGTTAAATTTTCACATTTCAGAGAACATATTTTAGAGCTATTGCAAGGTTTCGATAACATTTCTCGAAAGTGTAGCATATGCTAATGTGGAAACGCAATTAATATCACAGATATGCAAGATTTTGTTTTAGTTGCTTTTTAAATCAGATTGCTGTAGTCTTTAAGTTTAGCTTTAGAACAAAGTATAATCCCCCCCCCCCCAAAAAAAAAAAATTGCACCAAAAAAGTTATCTTACCTAAAATTTATAATAATTTGACTTCAAACGATACTAGAGACATTCAAGATTATAAACGAGTTCTTCAAGATGACATCTTAAATTACAACAGTTATAACTAAAAGGCAGTACTGCTTAAATTCCAGTAAAGAACTGCAAGAAAATCATTTATATTTTCGTTATGTGATTCTTCATACTTTTAATTTCGCTTTTAATTGAAAGAAGAACAGAAGAAGCACTAACTGTTGTAATAATCCAGTTAGCATTAGTTATGCATGATGTTAGTATGAATCACTAAGATTTTGATCTATATTATTTCGCAGTGTGATCTAGAGGTATTCTGATGTAGCATCAGACTCTTAACGTTGAATTTTCTTTGTAGTTACTATTAAGTAAGTTTTAATAGCACCAAGCCCTAGCGACAGTAGTAAATATTAAAACACTCATTGTTTTAAAATTTACAAGGTCAAATCACTAACAGTTATAAACAAAAAAACCGAACGTTTGAAAATTCATACTGTCATATCACTGAGAGCTTCCTTACATTAAAATTAAAGTGAATTTAAAACAAAGAAAAAGGTAACTTCGACGTGTGCAGCAAATTAAAATAATTAAAATCAATCGCCCAATAATTCTATATAGATTCAGAATTTCAGTCCTACAAACTTCTAGCTATGGCGGCAAGAACATACCTTATTTTGATATATTATATACGAATCAAATGAGACTCAAAACTGTTCATATGCTAGATTGAGTAGAAATTTTATTTACGTTTGATTTGCTTATATTCAGCAAACTCTAAAATAAATAGTTCACTATAATCATTATTTTATAAAATATGCTTTGTTTCTTGCCATTGTAAATTAAACTCATTTTGAAATATAAACTCTTCCGACAAAAATGCCATTCGAATCATTCATGTCTTACCTGCAGTTTCCATATAAAATGTGCAGGAATGTTCAAAAAATAACTAAATGCTGCATCTCATTTCTTCGAACCTTATAAAAATCACTTTACGTTTAACGATCCTGATATTATTTGCAATAATAACCTTTCTTCAATGCAGTTTCCAAAGTGCAAATTATAGCTTTATATAATAAAAACCAAAATTTAACTCGTCAAAAACCTTAGATTACAAATTTCAGCATATTAATAAATTAAAAAATAGGTCAGTCAGATTTGGCAAATACGAAAAGTCAGTTTTATTATTTGCTCCTACGAGTGTTTCCACAATATTTACGGATTTGGGCAGTTTACGACATTTTTACGCTTTTACCAAAACATTCCATATTCTGCCTTTATCAAAACATTTCACAAATTTTTATATAGAGATCTCACGTATTTTTTGTTACATTATGCTGGTGACAATACTACACTCCAGATGCACACAATTATTGCCCTGTACTCAAAGATATAATAATGTGATTATCTTCCAGGGCAAAATAAGTTAATAAAAAACGTCATTGATCTTTGCAATATGACATTTACAATGAGCATTTTACAACATTTCATTTTCATAGGGCTCACTGAGCATGAATTGGACCACGAGTTTAAATTTTCTATGGACTGCGTGTATTTCTTGATACTTAATTCCTTCATCGTTATCCTATTTTGATCCAACGGTCTATTGAATATTCTAATGCAGCCAACCACCTGAAAAAGATACAGCAGAGTTATTTCAGCTACAGAATATTCAAAGCTTCATATTACTCAAAACTTATACATAAGATGACCTTTATCAGAAATATCTTTTAAACAAAATTCTAAAATAAAAAGAAAATACATATTACGCAAAACAATTTTCATTTAGTCCAAAATACCGCAAAAATTCAACACGTATTCAAATTTTACTAAGATTAATTTTAATCAGTTAATTCGGTTAAGATTAATAATTCATGTAATACGTAAGCCACTTTGATTGAATTTTAAATTTGCTGCACATTGTATTGATTAGTGGTAAATTGTGAGATAAATTGAATTTTTGGGAGTAAATGCAATATTTAAAGTAAGCTCTGGAAACAGCAAACTGACCTCTTTTTCTCGTTCTCTGTATCTGCTAGGAAATAGAGATGCCTCAGCCGTGGTTCTGGCGGAATAGCTTCGAATGTGTTCTTCTTTCCTTGAAGACTACAGCTTTGGACCTTATAACCATGCAACTGAAAGAGACCTGAAAAAGGAAGATTTTATATATTAAAAGAAAATAAATGAAATTTTACTTATAAAGCATATGGGAACGTCTGGACTCTTCAGATATTCATTTTTAGTTTACACTATATAAACAAGCATTTCTCTGTACATTATAGCGTCATTAGAATCTTTTTGATGCTGAAGACGAGTGTGCTTCCAGTTACACCACGAAGGCACGCGGAAAGAAAGACGAAAATACTTTATAACATACAATCATACATTGCTAAAAAGTGCAACTGAAACTTGCAAAGAGGAATTATTATTCCTCTATGTATTTCTCTATACATATAATTACACTCAATAGCAATATTAATCTGGAAGTAACCTAGGAAGAAAAATTATCATTAAGCAAAGAAAATCATAAACATTTTAAAGGAGGACATCATTAACATTTTACGTATGATAGTATAAGGTCGGTCAGCACACTCGGCGTGTATTCGAAAGGTCCGTGGTTCAAATCCCGGGGAGGGCACTGCTCATTTTTCATGTCTCCTGCTTCGAAAGAACCTAATGTCTCTACAGTGGCACCCGAACTATTAAAAGGTGGTGGATGATCATTCTTCACCACCTAAGTATGGCGATTGAGACCCTTAATCCCCAGTCGCTCTTTAAAAGGGGGAGTAGATAAGGTATTTCTCCCGCCTTCTTAGCATGCCTTCGTGGTGTACTGGTCAGCACACTCGGCGCATTTTCGAGAGGCCCGTGGTTCGAATATCGGCGAGGGCATTGTTCATTTTTTATGTCTCCTGCTTCGAAATAACCTAATGTCTCTACAATAGCTCCACTTTACCGTTCCAATAATTTTCCTGTTGTTGTAAAAATACATTTAACTTTGATCAAACGTGTTCAACCTGTAAACAACTATTTTAAAAGAAACAGCAGTTTCATTCTGAGTAACAAAAGAAAACCAATGCAAAATTTTTAACTAAACAGTTATAAAGAAACAGATGTTTACTGTTGAACAGTTCTTAAAAATCACAAAGAAACCATAGTTTCATAAATTACGCAAATTATGGGAATTATTTCATTGATTATTCCAAAATAATTCAACAAACACTCAGCTAAATTTAATTTAATATCACCGTGAAGAAACCTTTATTCTCAGTTGAGTATTTGATGTGATGAGACTTTAGCAAATATTGTTTTTAAGTTATCTGAGTATATTCCAAATCGATTGCGCGAGAGTTTTATCCTCATTTACCTCGTAATTATATAGGATATAACAATTTTCTTACGTATACCGCATTGCTAACGTTTCTATTTAAGGTGAATTTCTCGTACCTGTATATGTATCTTGATGCTTCCGTCATTAGCCATAATGCCATCAACTAGAATCAGAATGAAACTTGTCAAGTTGAAAATGTCACATGAAACTAAGGTAAAGGAGAAAGAGAGGAAGACCTCTCCGCTGCACGTTCGTCTGTAGAACTGCACAGGGTAAAAGTAACCTTCGTACTTTTACCCTGAACAAAGAATTATAAGGGAATTATAATTAAAAGAAAAAAAGCGAAGTCTCGTTTATACGTCATAGGAAGTCGGAAAATTGAAAGAAAAAGAGAATCTGCTTTTGTTATATCATATTAAAGTGTCGAAACTGCAAATTTTTCTTTCAAGTTCTCTGCTATGAAAGTTCTGCTTTTATTTCCAGGCCAAGGTTTAAAATGCTATTACTGGCAGGACGACTGATCAGTTACTTTTATGATGTTCTTATTCTGCAATATTTGAATCATTTTGTCCTACCTTTAATAATAGCAAGAGCACAAAAATAAAAATATGTTTGATTACGAATTTACGACAGCTTATTCCTCTCTTTACGGAAGAAGAGCCTAAATGAAATGAAGCTTTGAGATTTATTGCTGACATGTTTAAAAATTTTAAGTCTCAGTAGAAATTATATCAAGGTTCGCGTTAGAATCACTCAGAATTCTTTTGTTGAAAGGATATACATTGTTATTCGAAGTTTCGTTTTATACTTTCTTAATAACGAGAAGACGTGGAGTTTTCTAAATTAATGCTTAGGATTTTTGTATGCTATGGGGGAGTAAAGGGTAAATTTTATTTCAATAATAATCATCCATACAGGATTCCGAACCTATTCATCACCCCGGTATCTCCGAAAATGATTTATTCAAGTGAAACAAACTCATCTGTAGAGCCATCAGGCTTATTTTGAAGTAGAAAACATGAAAAATATGTAATGCCCTCGCCGGGATTCGAAAGCTGGACCCTCCAATGCTAGCCGGATGTGCTTCCACGAAAGCTGACGGTAAGGAGGAAGAAAACACCTTACATATTATATAACACAAAGATAACTAGCTATTTAGAATATCTGAAATTTGAAGAAAGTATTTAATATTATTCTCAGAACTTTGATTGGTATCATAGCTGTTGATATGCCACAATGACCTCTGTTCCGTCACGGTTAGAATAATTTGCCTGTTTGCACTGCTTTAAAGACTGCAACCCAGTAATAACCAGCAAGCGAGAAGAAAGCATTCGGCCCACACCGAGCCACTTTTTACTTTGCCTAGTTAAAAGCGGCAGTCAGTTGTTATAATTAAACTGTAATCTTTACTCATTTAAGCGACATTATTATGTGTTAAAAAGAGCAAATATTGATAAGTTTTTCAACTTGACAGTCCACACAAGCTATCCATACAAGCCACCAAAATTTTGGACATTGCGTGATGTTGCAGTCGTTACGCCAGGTACAGATAGACAAAATATTCTAACCGTGACGGAACAACCTGTATTGGTAAAAAGTAGCATTGTATATTTACATCCAGCATCTTCAAAATCCCTCTCCTTGCGATTCTTTTCATGAAGTCATTAGACCCATTTGTTCAATTTAACCGTTTGACTGCTACGCGACGCATAAGCGCTGCGTTCATTTGTCTCGAAAACCGCAAAGCAGTTAGTTATTTTAGAATGCACTCGTGTTACAAAGTACGCATGAGGTCAGACTACGCACGTTCACACCCACGGAGCAACAAAGACACACTGAAACTCGCAGTGGGCGGTTTTCGAGACAAATGAACGCAGCGCTTTTGCGCCGCGTAGCAGTCAAACGGTTAAATAAGTTTGTGACTTCTTTAAGAGGTTTTGGCTACTTTGTACAACAACCAAGTGTAGTAAATTAAAAGAAGTTAATACTTACCTAAGGCAACTTTGGCGTTGCGATCAGCGTAGAAGTAGAGAGAGGCGTCCTTGAGAAGGAAGTAGCGCCTGCGCCACGCCTTCCATCGTTGGCTCAACTTGCTCAAGGGACCCTGGCAGTCGACGTTTGGAATCGAAGTTGGGGGTAGCTGGGCATTTCGCAGGCTCTCGTCCACGTAAGGGTCCGCCTACATGTTTGATTAAGACAATTTCTATATTTTCCTGATATTTGATTACAGATCTTTCTTATGTTTTAATTTCTAGCACAGCGTACTGTAGCTATTTACGATGCATGAAAGTCATTGCCGAAATGTTCTGCGCATTAAATTTGCAAAGTAAAAACACTTTTTGCATCAATTATTACTCTATTGTTATAATGTTACAATAACAGCAATTGTTATATTGTTACAATTATGTGTTTTTTCTGGGCTTCATTTCACTCCTGCACATGATAATTGCAAATAGTTCATTTATAGACATACATGGGCACTATACATCGTTTCTTCACTGACTGGATCATCAATTTTGTTTCCTCCAGATCAAGCAGTTTTCTGAAAGGCATTTCGTTTATTCGATAGTATTTGAAACACGTGTATGAAGTTTTATATCGGGATATGGAGGGAGGAAAGAAGAGAAATATCTAAGATCGAACAATTACTCAAGTACAAGAGGTGAATGGATAAAAAAGGGGTTGCTCGGAAATACAGAATAAAATCGGCTGACCAAACAAGTTTTCTGATTAGAGACCTTCACTCTAATTGGTTTATTTCATAAGTACTTTTTAACTGGACAGTTACTTATTCTTTACATACGTAGGTAATTACTGTTTAGGTCTCAAAATGAAACAGCACTTGAGACGACACTTTAAAGTATTCCTTTCTTTAGGATAAATAAAAAATTTTGCATTTGTGTTAAAATATTTTTAGAAGAAAGTGTTATTTATTTACGATAAACAATTACTATAAAGGCGTACCTGTTTTCAATTTTATATTAAATATACAATATAAATTTAAAAGTGAAATACTTTTTTAATGTAGATAGTATTACAAAAACATTAAACTAGATTTTTAAAATTAACTTTGTTTAATAGCAATAGGTTAGTAATGGATTAAAATTCTAAGTACACATTTTTAAGGTGAAATTTTGATTATATGTCTTTCAGATTTATATATAATTTTTTGAGAGTCTCCTTGAAAGACATATTTAATGCCTTTCAAGATTACTGTCGTACAGTCCGAAAAACCTCGGCGTAAGTACTCTCGAACCTAATTTGCATTCTGGTAGAGAAACGACGAGAATGTGGCAGTAAAGATATAAACCATAAAATAACTGGCTATTCATAATAATAATAGTAAGTCTTTTTTTCTCAGTGAGAGACTTTCCGTAAATATCAATAACATAAAGCTGCTGAAATCTCTTTGAACACTGAGCCCAGTGAAGAACAGGCTTTCGCATCTCAGTTCAGCTCCGTACGATAATTAGGTAATTCGTGAGTCTTCTTCATTACTTTCTTTCAGCACAAGAGATCCTTAGATTTTTTTTTTATTTCCTTAGATTTTTAGATAATTTCTTTGAATAAAGTTACTGAACTCTTAATTCAGTTCCTCGTTTTAATTAAAATGCGTTTAAAGCCTGAACGTTTATGTGACATTCTTTTATATTCCGTCTCTTAGTTTAGAAATAAACCTGTGTATTTTTAATTTACAGAAGGAATGGATTCCAACAGGCCAGGCAAATATGAGAAGGAAAACAGCTGCAATGCCAAAAAGCAGCAGGCCAGGATTCATGTTCCCTTTCTTGACGCGTTAAATAGTCCGTGGTACTTAAACATTTCGAGTAACTACTTTATAACACTCATTAACTCCTCGCAAAGTGTCATTTAAGTGGTATGAACTCAGTGAATGAACAGTTCTATTGAATTTCTACGATCAAACGAACTCATCGATGGAATGATGAAAAAAGAAGCACGAAGAAATATTTTACAGTTTGTAGATTTTAGATATCCTTTTCGCAATTGTACACTTTCACTGAACTCTTTGTAGACGTTAAGTGTAAGTTTGACGTGTAAGTTTGATAGACCTCATTTAGGTAAAATCTAAAAGTAGGAACAGAAACTTAAGAATGGCGTAAAAGACGCTTTATTTTAAACTAAATAAGATCAACAGAGGTCACTCCTGGCTCTTACAAGTCCGCCAGCACTTAAGGAAAGAAACTCGAAGTAGTAAGTCAAATATTAAAGCTAAATTTAAATAAACATAGGCAAAGGCCACACACAGAGCAATTTGGATTGGAAATTCACCGGTGTGAACTATCGATAATCTAATGCAAGGCCGAAGACAGGAACTCATATGAAGTAGTAAACCTAGCAATGCGGTAATAAACCTTCGAGGTCTTTTTAACTTAAAAAGGACAAAACCTCACTTAAATATAAGCGAACTCATTTGCATTCTGGTTAGAAAACAGAAAGAGAGAAGTGAAAATATAGATTCCAAACATAAAATAAATGGTTATTCAAATTAAAGGAAATCTCACATATTCTTAAAGTAACAAAAATCATAGCAACAGAAGCTGCATCTAAGCCATTGAAATTCAACGACTAATTTGTACATGTGACAAAGTCAATTTTTCTACTAATTTTCCTTGATGATTCTCTAAGCGTCAATGTATTGCTTTCCCATCACAATATCATTATCATACAAAGGTTCTGAGATACATTTTCAAAATACCGTTTTCCGTTCCTTCATATATCCTTTACATTTTATAGTTTCAACTCCGTCTAGTGATTGAGAAATCGAACATAGGCTACGCTAAATTGAAAATAAGGTATTTTAAAATTAAGTATTCACCACACGTTGAATTCATCCTCAAAATAGAAACTCGAGGGTTCTTTTGACAGCAAACAATTTGAAGAAAAAGAGTTTCCCCGGGAAGAGATAACATCGTCCACTACCGCGATAGTTTCTTATTATTTGGCAGAATTTAAAAACAGACATTCAAGGTGTAAAGTTTCCTGTTCATTTCTTTGACGGGCGAACCCTCATGAATCACTTTCGGAAAATCAAAACTTAAATGTGGAGCCACACCCGCACCTTGATATACGGGAAAGATCTTGTGTGTCATCGTTAATCTTACGTTGTCAAAATCCAACATCTTTTAAATCATTATTATCCTTGTTCTTTACACTCCTTAATCTCTCGTTGAATTTGAAGAATCACTTGAGTTTGATAAGTTTGACTCGAAACCTGCTTCAAGAACATCAGTAGTAGTAGTTTCTTCCACTGACATTTTTCAGTAGTATATTTTTATTCTTTTCAATGCATTCCTATTCCTTTTTAAATTTTACGCCCTGTTAGTTTTTCGGTCTTACTAGCGGCCAAGCGGTCAATTCGTTGCACTAGCAGTTCGATCTGGGTTTAAATCCCGACTAACGAGTTGGTTTATTAGAGGTTCGTGGTTTTCAGTACACATAACTTAAACACGAACTAGGTTTCCTTAAAATAACCTCCACGAAGGCCAGCTTCTCTTAAGACGATAACCTAAGCTGTGTGCTTTATCGTATTCCAAATAATTCAAAGAAAAGCTTTTCCTAATTTCTTTTATTCGCTTCATCTTAAATAAAATTGGAAGATTTATAAAGAAAAAGTATTCATAATAATCTATAATTAAAAAAGTAAGGAATAACAAGTATAAATAAAATATTAGTTTATGCACTCTATATGCCTAAGAAGTTGTGATATAGCACAGAAATAATAAAAAAAAGACGATGTAACATCGCAAAACCGTCTGACGCATTTAATGATATCCAGTTCTAGTAATTTTAAGCTTAATTACCTTCATTCGAAAGGTCGACTGATTTAATGAAGGGAAAGCAAGAGGCCGGTAGTATGCCTAAGAAGAGACATGCTTTCGCAGAGGAATTTCAAGGAAAACTGTCTTGCACGCACGCTACATACGGGAAAATCACGAACATGTCCACGCAACAATCGCATTCGCAAGATTCAATCAAGCCCACTGGAGATGCCAATATTCAGTCATTTGTTACTTAGCTACGGATGAGTTTAGCATTCGACATTCTGATGGGCGTTTTCATCGCAGTTTCTTGATTGCCGTTGACGAAGTGAATGCACAACAACGGGAAAGAATTCTTCACATATAGAATAAACAAAGATACGCAATACAATAGGAGGTTTCAATGGTTTTTCATAACGAACCACTTTCTTAAGTAGCCATGTAATGCTATTGCTGAAATTCTGACCCTGGTCACGAGCAATGAAGCAATTGCCTAGCCATGTATTTTACTGCTTTATTTTACCAAAATTTAATTGAATACAACTGGAAAAAATAAAAGTTTTGTTAGATTTATATTTACGCATCTTATTTTAACTATAGCTGTTAACCAATTAATTATGAATTAAGCAAAAAAATTAAACATAAACAAAATGTATCACTTGAAAATAAACTGTATCTCACACGGAAAATTGAACTTTTAAATCCAGCCACGTCTTACAGCTATTGTAAATAACTGATGTGAATCTGGAAAATTTAAATAAGCTTGATTCTGACTTTTTTTCGTTTAATTTGTACACTTGCAGAATCTAGGTTGTATTGAATGCTATTATTTTTGTTTTCTTTGTTGCAGTTTTTTGCCGTCTTTGCGATTTTCGTTTTTGCTGTTGTTGTTTGTTGTTTCTTTATTACACACTCAGTGGCGTCAGTGGAGTAACAGCCCTAGTGGGCCAAGGCCTGCAGTGCCCTATATCTGCTTTCTTGACCGTGGGCCCCGGAGTGCATGAGCATATGCCCTGGAGAAGTAGTCAGTTTGTCGCAAGAACCTCGGTGTTTAGTCCCCAAGCCATCTTGGTACTCATTTTATCGATCCACTCAAGGAACGAAAGGCTGAGTCTACCTTGCCCAGCCCGGAGATCGAACCCCGGACCTGTGGTGCTGCTGCGCAGCGCGCTAGCCACTGCGCCACCGGCTTCTTTATTGGTTATTGCGAATTAAAACTAATTTTATTCAAACGAAAACAACTCTTGACAGTTATTATTTGCACATAAAAGCATGATAGAAGACAAGTAATTAAATTAATAATACATAATTAAAAACTATGCAAGTATAACAATTAATTCGTTCAATGACGAACTTATATTACTAGTTCTAGACACTGAAACGTGAATTCGTTCTGATTTTCAAAATGGCAGTGTTTTTAAAATCTGTTATGAACTGTAGTGCTAAAGTGTAATTTATTTACTGAATTTTACTTATGATATTGTTGCATTAATAATTTTAATAATCTACAGCCTTTTAGGAATGATTTCTAAATTATTGCGTCCCAGCAATGGCCGAACAATTAAGACCGCTGAATATTGGAAGTTCGACTATGCTTCAATCCTATCACTAACTGCTTGGTGCATGTTTAGCTTTCATAGTTATTCCCATGCGTAACGTGAATACGGGATAGTTTTCCTTAGAATGTCCTCCACAAAGGCAACCCATAGAGAGATAGCCCTCGTGTGTTTTTACGTATTCAAATAACCTAAGCTAACTTCTAAATTATCGCGGAAAATTAAGAGATGTTAGTATTATATGGATAAGAAGCAAACAAATTTGAACTTTAAGAATATGTACAATACAACTTTAGATCCACAGTTGTATTGAAGCGGTCTTTAATCGGAGTTTTCAGCAGGAATCAATGTTAATACAAGGTCAAGTTTTGCCTAATTTTAAAAATTAAAGATTTGCAGCAGTAATACATAATAATAAATAATATTATGAGTAATAAATAATAATTTTAGAAAACTATCATGACCAAGTATAGATAACGATCACAGAAATTAGACTAGAAATATTTTGAATCGATTTTTTCTCCCTTACCCGAGAAGCTGTCGCAGCAACTTGGTTCAAGGCACTGATCCATCTAAGTAAGAAAACGAGAAACTACGCATTAGAAACCGTCAACTAGAGTTCAAGTCGAATACAGTCCAAAATCTTAGATTTCAATTAAAAAAAAATTACCTAGTGGCGGTGTCCTCATCGTCAGCCGAAAAGTAAAAGGGGCTCTCTCCGATCTTGGACACCTTAAAGGCGTGAGGCGCCCCGGCTTCCGGGACGCGGCTAATTGTCTGATTCTGCAGCCCCAGTGCACCAAGGGGCTCATGGTCCTGGAAAAGAAAAATGAGAATATTGAATCCAGTTTTGGGCTAGTCAGTAGAATAGTTTCGGCCTACCAATGGCTGTGTGGTTAAGACTGCTGAATGCTCGTATTTTGATATGGGTTCCAGCCAAGGCGAAAGAGATGGCTGCATGAATGATTGATTTTCGTGGTTTTAAACCCATGTGTAAAGAAGATACGAGCGACTTTTTTAGAAAGTTTTCCGAGAAGACAATCCCTGCTCGTGGGCAGATATCCGTCGCGTGCTTTATAACAAAGGATACAATACTTTTGGTACGGAAGTCCCAGTGCTGAAAGAGAGATCTTGCATGTTACGATTTATACGTTTTCCTTTCAGATATATCTTGCTTATTTTCGAACACTATATTTCGTTTTTACCGAAACAGATTACAATCTGAATGGGTCAACAACATATATTATTTCCAATGGCAAGGCAAAAAGTTACAAAGGACTAAAATGTCATAAACAGAGGTTACAAATAATAGAAGTAAGAACAAAAAGACCGAAGTCATTGCCTAAGAAGTGCTCTTGCCTCCTAGTATCTAGACTCCTCTGGAAACCACGAAGAGCCCCACATCGAAGCAGGTGGTCCCTGCCCATTTCTTCTCTAGAATCACAAAAAGTGGGCAAATAGGATCGCTTGAAATGCCTATGTAGTGCAGGTGAGCAGGCACCAAGACAACCATCTCCTTTAGACAGATGGAAAGCAGCAACTGCATTGCGTCTTGGGCAATTGGAAATAGAAGATGGACTTATCATTCTCCAACTTTTTAAGGCTGTACAAGTCTGAAGATCTCATAAGATATTAGACATAAACAAATTTTTTAAAAACAGTTTAATCCTCCAATAAGAAATGGCTCTATTAGAAAGTTGTAGTAAACTGGCACCTCTTGTTTCAAGAAAATCCGCTTGTTCATTGCCTCAAAGGCCACAATGGCCACGTATATAAATATATATGTAAGATAAAAAATGAGCAAAATTGTAATTTTAATTGGCTATAACCTCTTTTATTTTTCATTTAAATTGGGGATTTAAATAAAATTAAATTTCATTTAAATTGGGGATTTGACTCTCTCTATCTTAAAAATAGCGCTTTAGGTCTACACTGCGTCATTCAAAATAATCATGCGATCTTAAGTAATGCTTAATGCAGATACCTTTGCCCAATCACTAAATAATTGTAAACCAAAACATCTTTAACTCGAACTTTCAGTTTGAGTTAGAGATGAATCCCTCCCTTCTTCCTCTGAATTGCTGTGACACTTTCACCTAAGCTTTCCTCCTGACAAGACGCTTTGCGGCTACCTTCTTTGTTCATTGAATATGTGCTGAGTTAACAAAAATGTAGGGCGCATAAGATGCCCGTCCGGATGTGAACTAAATATTGGGAAACCAGAATTGTTTTCTTCAATAAGAAACTTATCTTGAATCCGGCCATGCCTGCCTTGCCAAGTTTCTTCGCTACGCATCTATTACGCCACCACCAAGTTCCAAATGATTCATATTATGTCATTTATGAATACATGGAATAAACTGAACTAATCGAATATGTATAAATTATTCCACATGTTTGGATTTACTTTAGTCTTTTCAGAAGAACATAAAACAGCAAAATCTTTTGCATAGTTTTTCAGTTTACATTTCAAAACGTAGCTTCAATTTCCCCCCCTTGATTCTACATTTTCTTTGAATATGTTGAGACAGCAGACTGATTTAGTGAATTATTATTAACAGCAACTTGAATCCCAAAAGATAATTCTACAGTAGATGTACTCTCATGTATACGCAAAAATAATTTGAAAATTGGTTTCTTAGATGTTGTTACTGGTCTGGTATTTTTTTATGACAACGCCAGTTTCTGTAACAAGATCAAAGACAATTTTTAAAACTAAAACTGTAAATTCTTACATTCGCTGTTTGATGGATCGGGAATGACTTACTGATCTAGTAAAAATGTTTATCCAGCTTGACGTCGAATACAAAATTGAGAAAAATAATGAGTTTAAAACTAAATCACAGTAAAAATCCCTAACCATAAGTTTTTCATATGTATCTATTAAAGTTGAAATAATTTTATCCCTGAATAGACATTAGAAGCAACTACATTCACGTACAAAATTAGGATAATTATACAAAAGATGTCGTTTTTTTAAGAAAAGTATTCAACCAAAGGTACTAATTATGCCGCCGAAGATTTATGAACGGCATTCTTTCTTTTTTAAAGAATAAAAATATCCTGATGAATAATATTGTAACGTATATAATATTTACCTCTGTTGAGCAGTATGTGATTAAATTTAAATTTCTCATTAATTTTGGAAGCATTAAAAACAAATATATCACAAAAAATCTTTTAAAATGCTTTAAACTTATACATACCATCAGGCAATGATAGTTTTTCAAAATCTTAAGACTGAGAAATGCATGATACGCCATGGCGGTAACTTATTTAGGGCAAGAAATTCTTTCACAAAAGGCTTAGTATGGGCTTTATTCAAACGTCAATCTGTGCAAAAGATCTCTTCACAATACTGTAGTGAGACTGTTAATATTTTTAACGCTACTATCATCGGAAGTTACAGGTGACAAGACCATTTCGTCACCTAAAACTGATCATAAATTACGTATTTAAGATCTTTAATAAGCTTGCCTCCTATAGCAATGACGTAAGAGTAAAATAATAAAAAAACTAGATTTCACAAAATTATTAGAAATTTTAACAATGAAGAATGGAAGAAATCGATCGTGGTTTCGAATGTTGGGATGATGTGAAGAAAAGAAAGAAATGAATTATACTGGGTGAGATATTGATCTGCATAATTTTTCGAAGAATTAAGAAAAAAAAAAAAAAAACTGGTCAAAGTAATTACAGCATAACAAATTAATGTATTAAACGATTCTATTAATAAACATTGTATCTCCAATTTATTGTTCGGTTACCTTATTTGTTCTGTACCAATAGAAGACGCCATCCAACTTCACGGCGAACCAGCGCCGACACCAGCGCCGTCCAGTGACGCTACGTGCACTCAAACGTTGCAAGTAACCAGAATATACAGGGGGTGGAGGAGAGTCTGTAAGAACTGGAGCAAGCATGTGGCACGTCCTGCTTACTTCCATCTTTAGCACTTCCGTTCCTAGAAGCAAAAAAATCATGTTCCTCTTTCGCTGATTCAGGCACATGAAATTATGAGAGGTTATTTCTTTTCTTTAGGCACACATAATTCTCTTATATACAAAGAATCACTGATGCAAAGTAATAATAAATAGAAGCTTTGGAAAATCTCGTTTACGATTCGCAGACATGTGTCAATTATTTTCATGGACATGACCTACTACTGTCACACGAGGGAATAAGTGATAAATGGATTAGAGTGTAATGCCAGGTGCATAGACTAAGGGACTAAAGACTAAGTAGACTAAAGGGACATGATCAAAACTTTTTACTAACATTTGATTCTTACTGGTTTTCATCAGACATGCTTGTTAAGAAGGAGGTAGAGATGTCAAAAACTTTATAAAGAAAACTTTCATTTAACAACTTCGGCTTAGGAATCCATGCTCAGCGATGCTAAAAAAACACGAAGCTTCGAATGTAGTTAAACAAAACTGAGAAATTATTCCACATTAACTATACGCTGAGAAAAGGCAATGAGTTATTTTACGAATTGATTTTGATACTATGTTACTTCCCGCATAACATTCAAATAATCTTTGCTTGTGTATTTATGTGCGCAAGAGATACAGTCAACTGCGAGTCACAACCAGTTTCAGACCATAGGCAACCCAGTGAAGCTTCGCAAGCTACAATTAACCATGTAAGATTTGTGAAGCTCAGAAGCGCGCTAATAATGGCCGACTCATTGTTACGCCGAAGGTTCGCAGTCGAATATAGCTAAATTTCGAGCCCTTTGTTGTCAATAATATTTAGTAAAAGGATAAATTTAAGGTTAAGACAGGATGAATGACAACGAAATATGGAACTGATTGTTATCAAGAAGATGATTTAATGATGTTATCTGTGGTTCTCCCACAAAATCGACTCATTTGGGTACAAATTTATTCATTAAGGTACACAGATACTGACGAAATACCAATGTTAAAAGGCTGTATACAAATAAGATTTAGACATTGTGTGTATTTTTATTTGCTTTTTTAGTCATCTGCTTGTCGTTTATTATTTTTATAGTTAGAGAAAATCATTTTGAAGGGCTTGAAATTGGTTTATAAATTGACCGTGATAATGCGTTAAATCCTGTATTATTTGGACGTAATCTTTACCCTCTCTTTCTATTCATGTGCACAGAGATATAATTTTCTATGTAGTCAGAGATTATGTTATTTATGTACACATACACATACATGCACACATACATACATATATATATATGTGTGTGTGTGTGTAAGATAAAAAATATATGAAAGCAAACTTCTAATTTAATTCACTATAACCTCTTTTATTTTCTATTTCATTTGGGAACTTCATTTATCTGTCCTAAAAATAGCGCTGTGAGTCTAAACTGCGTCATTCAAATTAATCATGCAATCTTTTGTAACCCTTAATGCCGATGCCTCTTGACCAATCACCAAATTATAAACCAAAACTAAAAAACTGAAACTTTTGACTCCCTCTCTTCTTTCTATGAACTGATGCGTCACTTTTGCTTGTTTTTCCCTCTTGGCCAGACGCCTTTCTCCAATCATGTGTGTGCTGCTACATTCCTTTCTATGGCAATAATATCAAAATTGTAAATGTTCTTTAATAGGCACGAGAGGAGTGCCAAGTGAATTGTGGCCACAAAATGAGAATTTAAATAAAAAATCTGATGTGTACACCATATGACTTTCTTGTACGGAATATTAAATTATACGCATTTTTTCTTGCATTTCATTTAAACGTATTGGATTGAATTAAATCTACTTTCGCCGACAGCGCATAACCACAATAGAATAAATGCATTCTTTAAAATTCCTCCAGTATTTGTTTTGCCTAGCGACACTCTGACGCTAGATTCACTTAACAGTATTATATTTCGTTCATATTATAACTCATAATGCACAAATTGATATCATTTAAGAATAGAATTATCTAATCGTTGCCACATTTTCTATTCAATACTCTAAATAAAGCGAGAATGATGTATAAAAGAAATTAAGCAAACAAACAAAAAAGAAACAGTTTTTCACAGACGATTGAGTATTTCTCATTCAATTATTCAGTCTCACTTCGCGAGAGGCAATACATAAAACTCAAATATCTATATTAAAAATTACGAAGTAAAACTTAAACACTTATTTCCTCGAAAAAATTCCAGAAAGGATTAAGCATGATTTAATTGGCAATAATACATGAAGGTGTTATCTTTGTTGTTGCGAAGCTAAGTTCTCTAAATTGGCAACAAATCCACTAGTCTACTGTTTCAAATGTAAACAAACATCGGCCGCCTTAAAAAAAAAAAAGGCTTAGCGGCACTTAATTGCCGCTAATTATTGTTGATAATTCTAAAAATATTGCATACAGATTTACTAAAGGCACAAAAACCTTAATCGGAAGATAAAAACAACATAATTCAATCAATTTTAAAGCAAAAAATGTACAATTTACAAGCATATAAGAGTAAAGAAACTGAGATCACGAGCCGGGTAACAGTTTTTTATATATATATAATATATTTTATATACGTTTTCGTGATTGCAACCAAAATACGAGGTGCACATCTACATGTTATATAGCAGTCCTATATACAAAATTTCAACGTTCTGAGGCTACTTCGTTTTTGAGTTATACGAGATACGCACGCGTTACGTACATACGTTCGTACATACGCCACGAAAAATTCTCTTTCAGAATTTATTTTAAAGCAGTTTTATAATTTTTTTTGGAGGAAACGAGTCTTTTATTCTGTCCTTACGTACAGATATCACGCAAAAACATCGTTAAATTGCATTCCATAGCGGTCAAAATGGATATTTTCGTTGAAATGTGCTGCCTGAAACTTTTCGCGATTACAATACTTCCTTTTTACATCGTACAAGGAAGTAAAAAGGAATTTAATCCGGCTCAACTGCTTCTTCTTCAAAATGGATGGACGCTCTAAGCATCAATTATCTACGCAATTAGTATTTTTACGCATCTACGTCTCAGCGTTCGTATTTCAATGCCTCCAAAATTGTCTGCCATTACATTCTTCGGGCAGTTTTAATTCTGAAGAAATCTACACGGGTTTGTTATTCTATGTTCACAGTGAATTATGGGAAAAGTCCTCTTTCACTGAAAATTTTAATGCAAGTTTGTGCCGCATTCATAATCAAATCTTTCATGTCGTGTCATCAAACCACAGTTTCATTCACATACACACCATGTCCACGAAAGTCTTAAAGCGGCCTTTATTTTCGCCGTTTAACCGTTGGTAAAAGACACATAGTTTTAATCATAAAAAGCTTTCAAATGGGCCAAATTTTCATGTTTTGAGAAGTTTAAATTTAAAGAAATCACTTTTGTAAAAATTACAAAATCTATTTATTTATACATTCGTCCGGTCACTATACTTATATTTAGATCAATTTTGTGCTCGTTACAAAAAATAAAAAACAAAATGTTTGACACAACCAGAATTGATCAAAATTGACCGAGATACTTAATTTCAAAATTTGCGAATTTCTACGTCATTTTCAGTTTGCATTAAGGGTACATTAGTAAAAGAATTATAATAATTCGAGGTTGAGGTTTCCCCTTAAATACAATTAAATGATATTCTTTCGTGATTTAATAGTGTCTTTAACTTATAATTTTGTTACATTTGGCATGTCAGAAGATAAATGTCACACAAGTTATTTATAAGTTTCCTAAGTCTAAAATTACGTTATTAATATGATCATGAAGGTTTCTTACTTTAGAATCATGATATGGCAACGATAGAAAGAATTCATTAAACTACAAATATTTTTCATCTTTAACTACTGCAAGTAATGTGAAGAGTTGGCTACCTACCAATACTGAAGATGGCTAATATTTCTAGAACACGAATTCTGTGTGAATAAGATCTGCATCTTGAAAAACATTATAACGATCAATATTCTCTCAGTTATTAACATGGGAATGCTTCACTTAATCTCTTAACAGAAATCTTTTTCTAAACTGATATTTTATTTTTAGTTACGTACAAGTGCAAATCTTTTATTCTTCAGTTTGCGTACATCTCCTAAATATGAATTCCGATTTTAATATCATATATCTCAGTTAACGTTTGTCGTACAACGTCGCTCAGTTCGCTAAAAAAAATCTACCCAGTGGCAGAAGAGAACCTAATGAATACGAGAGGCCAAAAACGAAATTAACATAATGCTATCTAAAATCAAACTAAAATTCAAATGAAAAAACAAAAGATAAGAGATCAAAATTTTGCAAAATTTGGGAGGAACTGGATTTGAATTAAAATCGTTAAGTAAAACATTTAGAATTTAAAAATGCAGGAGGTACTGTAAATACTTGCATTCGGTCCATAAATGTGGGTTCAAAGAAATCTAATTCTTCAACGGAAGAATATTTTTTATATTAATTTTAGCTGTATTATTAAAGTTTAGGTTTTGCTATAGATCTCCAAGCTTGCTTGAGTAACATTAATCTAATTCTTCAACCGAAGAATATTTTTTTATAATAATTTTAGCTGTATTATTAAAGTTTAGGTTTTGCTATAGATCTCCAAGCTTGCTTGAGTAACATTAGTCTACCTCCTCTGTTAATGGCATTAGTTAAAATACATCTAATTTTTTTTTACTGAACTCTTAAAATTGTAATCTTTACTGTTTGTTTTTGATTTGTATTTCACTTGATAGAAAGCGATATATTTACTTCGTCTTTGATTATGACTGTTTAGTTGGCATCACCTACTTATTTGGCTCTTTGCTTCCCTCTCAAGGCAGAAATGTTTTGTTTATTGAAGAGGATGGACAGATGCCAGTTGATCTGATATCTACACATTTTTATATGAAACTTCAGTTATCAGGATTTCTTATCAGTGTCACCAGGATGAGAGCCGAAAACGGGACATTCCGAGCTAGCTGGACTTGCTTTCCAATTACATTACGATAGCACGTAATGAAAGAGAAAAACCTTAGCCTCCTTTACTTAAAGTGCGACTGGGCCAAATACTGGAAGTGACGAATTATCGCGCATTTCATTTTAGTCCTTGTTCAGGTGGCACTTGTAGAGTAATTAGGATTTTTTTGGAACAAGAAACGTGAAAAATGTGCTATGATCTCGCCGATACTCTACCTCCGGACTTTCCGATCGAGTCGGACATGTCCAATTACTTCAAGAAGGCACGCGGTAAGAAGGAAGAAAAACCTTTAAAACTTTAAGCCGATATCAGTTTGATTTTCATCTCATTTGATATTACTGAGTAGCAAATGTTTGTTGCTTGAGTTATATCGGTTTAGATTACAGATCCTGAAGAGTTATGCTCATAAATGGCTAGAAATGTACTTACAAAATTAATGTAATTCCCAGAAATACTCTTATTATGTTTAGAAAACTGCTTACAAAATGAATTCCACTTCAATTCTTTTATGTATCAGATAATGTTAAGTTAAACTGAGTTTTTAACGTCAAGCACACAGTTTAAACGTTTTTGGAAAGTAATGTAAATTAAAATGAGCTCTTTACTTCATACTGCTTAAAAATTTGCAAATTTATAAATTGTTGTCAAAGGTTAAATATATTCCATAGCTGTTTATAAAGCTGAGATAAATCAAAAGTAGCTACCTAATTAAATGTTTTAGCGAAAAGATTTTGCATCGTATAAAGTATTGAAATTTGGGATAATATATTTTCGCTTCAGCACTTTCGATTAAATTAGAATATATTTTCAATGATGGGGTAAAGTTTATAAAACAATTTTTGTTTACCTGTATGAGCTAAGCGGACTACTTCAGAATGCGTAGCGTCAAGAACATTAAGGCCGTTAATGGTGACGATGATATCTCCTACTTCTAAGCCACACGTTTCAGCTGGAGTTCCTGTTATGGAATAGGAAAGGTCATTATTTGTATTTTAAAAAGGGTGATAAAAATAATTGATAAATTTTGTGCTATTTGTAACGAGAGCAAAATCATAAACGTTTTGAAATATTATAATTCTCCCAAATAGAGAACAAAGAAGTCTCAGTTTCTTACCAGAATGGAATACTATCGAATTTTTCAGTGCAAATATGTTAAACAATCATTTTACCAAGACGACCCAGTCGATAAAATGGGCTCGAATCTTGGTCCCGAAATACCGGGACCATAAGTATTGTTTCCATAGCTATTTGACTTAGTTAAAAAGTATATCTGAGTGCATTTCTAAGTTCCTCAAGTAAATCATTATAAGCGTCTGGTAAAAACTGAAACCTGGTCTACAACATTTTTGCCGGTTTTAAACCCAGGTTTTTGTTATGAAGAGAGTGCCAGCGTCATTTACATAGATCATGTATTTACATCGATACACACAGATTAAACGAAAATGTTGAAGTAAGCTCGTCAGAAAGAAGAACCAACTGCGTTGAATAAACGTGTCCTCATATCTGACTCATTGAGACAAACGTGTCCTCATATCTGACTCATTGAGAATCTCTTCAACTGTAAATTTAGTCAAAGGTTCTTCTTGTAATTATACTTATGAAAACTGATCCATTGTTTTCGAACCCTAGCTGACTTTTTAAATGCATAACAAATATTAACCGCATGTTTGCCCTTTACAGCTCCTCTTCCGGTTACTTTCACAGGTTTTTTCTTTTCCTCATCTTCCATTGTTCTATAAATGTCTTTTTGCCAGTTTTCTGAACCACTGGAATTTTAGTACCTCTTCAATAGTGATGGGCAACTTCGGTACTTTCTTGCACCCGGTACGAGAGTAACGGGTACAGATATGTACCCGGTACAAAATACCCGTTACTCAAGTAACCGTTACTTTGAAAAGTACCGAAAACCGATTTCAAGTACCGAGTACCCAAGTAACGATTTGGAGTACCGAAGTAACGAAATACCGGAGTAACGGTTTGCTGTACCGGAGTACCCTAATAACGGTTTGCTGTACCGGAGTACCCTAGTAACGGTTTGCTGTACCAGAGTACCCTAGTAACGATTTGGAGTACCGGAGTACCCTAGTAACGATTTGGAGTACCGGAGTACCCTAGTAACGATTTGGAGTACCGAAGTGCCCTAGTAACTATTTGGAGTGCCGAAATACGCAGCTAACGATTTTGCGCACTGAAGGAACTCTGCCACGTCACCACGTGTTTGATGTTATCTGTACGGAGTAAGATTTTGAATATCAGAAAACATGTCAACTACGGAAGTGTCTGAGGAGCAGGAGAGCGCGGCAGGTTGTTTCTGGTGTTGGGGTTTGTGTAGAATTGTCTTTGATGGCCAGTGGGGGTTGGGAGGATTGGCGCGGGAAGTGGATGGATGGAAAACATTTTCGCTTTCGGTTGTGTCTTGTGTGCAGGTGCAGCAAAATCGATGGGTGCTCTATCAATTTCGTGAAAGGGGTCGTCCCTAAATGATATCACGCTTGGAGGGGGTTAGTGAAATTGTGACAGTTTGTGACAAGGCGGGGGAGGGCGTAACAAGAGGTGTGACATCATATTTTGAATAAAATAAAAATGTTTAAAATCAGCAGATTGAATTTTGAAGTTATTTTAAAATTACCAAAATTTGAAGGTATTTTCTTAATTGGGGCGAAAGCAACTTTCATGTGATTTTTTTTTTTTTTTTTTTTTTGGTATAACGCATATTTTCGTTACAAAGTAGCGAATACCGAAAAGCACCCGTTTCGGTACAGAAGTAACGAATACCGAAAAGTACCCGTTTCGGTACAGAAGTAACGAATACCGAAAAGTGCCCGTTTCGGTACAGAAGTAACGAATACCGAAAAGTACCCATTTCGGTACAGAAGTAACGAATACCGAAAAGTGTCGATTTCGGTATTGAAGTAACGGGTACTTGGATGTACCGATTTTCAGTACCCGTTACAAAATACCCGGTTCGGTAGTACCGACTCATCACTACTCTTCAATATCCTGTAAGTGAAGTTAAGAAGTTTATATCTGGATTCGTTTATTTTGTGTGATATGTGAATTATGCCAGATCAGTCCAGTTTCATGGATTTCCGTTATGATAGATTCCTCCATATTTTCTCTCGTAGCCGTTACAAGTGTCTGTTCTTCCATTGCTCTTCTCCTTAATAAATAACAGTTTCATTCTGACAGCTCAAAACTTTTCACGCTCTGACAAACCTATATTATCAGCCTCACGCATATTCCAACAGATTTATATTAGTCCAATTCTACGTTTTTGTAAATATGAGGAACGGTGTTCATCAGTTTCAAATTTAGCTATGTTTTAAAAATTATTGAAAATAAGCGGGACGAACTGTTTCGCAATTTCTGAAACATTATACTAAGGTTTCTGTTATTTCATCACCAGGATCAGGTATTGCTACATTTTCTCTTCAAATAGTAGTAAAAAATTATTTTTTTATTCGAAAGTAATATGCTATTAATGAGTAAGAATTAAAAATCAGCAGTTTAAAGCAAATTAACAAGTATTTAAAGTAGTCTCTAAAATAACATAGATAATCCTCCGAAGAAAAATAATATAAATATGTATGTAAAATAAAAAATATATAACTCTGAATTATACTTAGCAATAACCCCTTATTTCCTCCTTTTGGTTTGGGCACTCCCCTCCTCTATTCTAAAAGTGGTAATAACTTTTTTGAAAAACATTTACTGTACAGACCGTTGCAATTCAACCACGCTCTCTCTTTCATGATAGCTAAAGGATGTTTCCTGGTTGGTTGCTGTTATTAAAAATGTAACGCGTCATCATCAAAATTGTGGGGCACAGACTGTCCCCATTGTGTCACTTGATAAAGTAATCAACAAGTAGTAAAGATATATTTGGATTATCAATTGAATTTGTGGTTCTTCAAAAGTTCCTAGCATCTTTTCTACGTAATCGATATTTTCAGTTATCTTCTAACCTCAGTCCACTTGCGACTGCAAAATAATGTCTTCCCTAGTAAAGCACTTCTCTCGGTGTCCGACAAGAAATACAATATCCGAAACTGTAGAATTCTGAGCTCAAGATCTTGCAAAAGGTTTCTCTATAATTAGTCAACGCAGGTTAATACATTTAGACAGTCTGTTAAGTGAATTTTAAGGAAAGACAGTGCAATGTTAAGCGTTTTTCTTTTATCGACTATTAATAAGACGAAAGATGCTACAGGATTCTAGACGGAAGCTATAAATTTAAATATTAATATAAACGAAAAAAATCATTCAAAATGTCACTGAAATAATTAAATCTTTTTAGCCAAGTTCATCAACACATAAACATTATATGATGAACGTAATAGAGGTATTTATGCATCGAAAATATAACTACAAACGTATTTTCTGAAGTATAGTATGGATTGAGATTGACACAGATATGCATGAAAAGAACTGCAGTTGTTGACACATTTACGTAACAGTACACGTTTCAGTGTTAAGCTATGCATTTTGATACGATGGCTATGAAGGCTGACAATAATTTCGTACTATTACTTTCTGAGGAAGTTTCATAGTGATTTAATAATAATAATATAGTATTAAGAATAAAAATGAGATCTGACCTTTCTCAATCGCAGAAACGACAACAGGTTTGCTGCCATGTATTCTGAATCCAAATTCTCCGTTGTTCCTTTGCACTATAACTCGTTTGTCCACTTCTGAAACATCCGAAATAATGAAAAATATGAGTTGTTATGATATTAACTCATGAACTCAATAACTAAGTTCAAGAAAAATAACAAACAGTAGGCAAGCATAAAAAAGTTTAGTAAAGTAAAATTCAACTTTCGTTTGGCAGTGATTTCAAATGAAATCTCAGTAAGTTCATTTAATGTTGGGGAAGCCCAGGGGTGACTCGGCCGTCAATGTATAACCGAAAATGTACGAAAGTGTGATTTGAAAATGCCACCTGATTAGTTGATTTTTAGTGAATAAGACTTGCTTACTTAAATCAACTGAGCATACATTTTTAAGATCAACTGCATCTTATAAAGGAAGTTTCAAAGATTAGTCAGGGCATTACTTGCAGAGTCATTATGATTTTTTGGGGAAGCAGGAAACAGAAATGTGCAATGCCCTCGCCGGGACTCGAACTTTAGATCCCTCGAATACGCGTCGAGAATGCTTCCAATTACACCACGAAGGCATGCGGAAAGGAGGGAGAAATTACCTTATAAGTTTTATGATCATATTTTGTTCCCATGTATTTTAGGTGAAAACCTAAATGCAGTTTCCTTAGACATAGATCTAGTATAGGTTACTGGCGTTGTTAATAAATATTCAAATTCTATATGAGGCACTGGCACATTTTTATGGCTGGTGTAGCCCTTAGCACATTAGCTTTCTTCAAATATTCCGCTTAGAAGCTTCAAAGACCCATGAGACAGCCAGTAAATTAATTGCATTACGCAACAAGCAACCTAGTTTCTTTTACCATCAACAAGTTATTCTGATGAAGTATATTCTCAGTAATGCAATAATTAACTGAGGAAAAAAAGGAAAACGCAGGGAAAAGTCGATAAGGTGAGGTATATAAAAAGTATTTAATCACAGCTGTTGCAATCAAAAGTGTTAATTAGATTGACAAACTTTTCTACGTTTTAAAAGTAGAAAAAAAAATCAGTTAGATGCTTCGGAAGAAAAAAAAAAAATGACGACTTATAACGAAATTGAAACTTTTACGTAATTTATTATTCGCTTTGGCAGCGAGCGATAAAGTTCAGGTCATTAATCAATTTTTTTAAATTTATTTTTTTCCTGGACGCAGACTTACAAACACGAAAAATACGTTACAAGTCTATGCCCTGCGATTCTATGCTCCAATGCCTCCAAGTCTACGCTCCGATTTGTTCTTGGCTCTGTTCATGCTGAAAAACGTAAAGACTGATTATTATTAATGCTTTTTAAATTCTGCTTCATTTCCTTTGCTGTTTTTAGTAGAACGGTTGATCATTATTTTCTAGATAATTTTTATCTATTCTGTGTTATATCCATGCTTGATTAAAAGAAAAGGATTAAAAAGTTGACTAATTATAAAAATTATTTCTTGCCTTAATAAAGACAAGGATAAGCACTAAACCGCATTTTCAAATAAAAATAGGAACAATAAAATTGAGACTATTGTTGCGTGCGTAAGAGTTCGTGATAGATTGAATGCATACAGGTCCGATGATTGGTTGATAAAATTTATTTTATCAAAAGAAACACTTCAGAGTTCTGGAACTTTCTACAAAAATAGTCGTACAACTATTCACAATATAACAGAGTGCAATTAGTAGTTACACTTCAGACTACTAGGGACGTTAAACACAATGAAATGCAAAGTGCATCTAAAGAGCGAAGCTAACCCGGAGATATTTCAGTACTCCGAACTTACGCTGAATTAAACAATTAACAACAGCTCACAACTGAGAGCAAATCCTCTCTCTGGCCTCATATAATTTTCTTCGTCCCCCGAGAAATGTCTAGCGCTTCTCGAAATTACTGGAAGGCATATGAGGCCAAGTACGGTTACAGTTGCATATGAAATCAATTGCAGTTATTCAATTACAATACCTATTACGGTAATACAGGGATCAGACCCAAACGTCGCCAAGTTTCGCTACTTTAGTTTAAAACATTCAAAATTTTGACAATATTTCTGGGAATTTAAAGCCAGTATATATCATGCCTCTAAACATTTATACTATATCTAATGAAGGATTTTTAAGCTTTTCATGTACATTAAAAAAGCACTTTCTGTTTAAGATAGTCTTCATTTTGTAGTATATTATACTCACATAAGGAGAGAATGACAAAAATTACTAAAATTCGTTCAGTACTATTGCAGGTTATAAAAGGAATAAAAATATGTAAGAATATATGCTGACATAAGCGAAAGCAGAATTATCTACATAAAACATCTTGCAGGGAAAAAGGAGCAAATAAAGAACTAAAATAAATATAAGAAGTGCAAACCTCTCATGAGAAAAATTACAAAACGGATAATTGTTTGATACCCAAAGTAAGGACCTTTTTCCTCTTTCAGTTAAGGAAATGGAATACAGTCAGGATAAAAACTAACAGGAGAAATTGTATTCTGCCATCTACTGTTTTATTTCTTTAATCGTTTTCTTCGATATTGGCCCATAACAATATTTCTATTTCAACGGCATCTGAAAGACATTCTGTGCTCATTTGCATTTCCATGTTTTAAATTAGGGGTCTTTAACCTTTCATGCCCGAAAGCCACATCAATAAATTCACAAAGATCCGCGAGCCACGTGTTTGTCAAAAAATAGTGTAGTCAGAAAACATACATAAAAAAAAGGAGGTTTGTTTTGCAAGACTACAATTGATTCTAAGCGAAGAGATAACGTTGCAGATTTGTATATGTATACATTGGCTCTAAAAAGTCAAACCGAAATCGAATTAAAATGTTTTGCAACTCTTTTTAACTACGAAAAAAAAGTATAAAGATGACTTGCACAGAACAATGTTACAAAAAGCATTTACAATAAAAAAATAATAAAAAAATTAACATTACTGGCGGGAGATGGTAATTACTTTAGTTTCAATGTGAAATTTGACATCGTTTTTGCTTGATTAAAGTTTAAATATTCGGTTTAATCTGTGTTGTTGCAATTTGTAAAAGTTTCCTCCAAATTTCTGTCTTTCAGCCGTGTTCTTGTTTTTGATTTAGGATCTTCATTTTACTAAAACGATGTCACATATGTAGGCACTGCCAAAGGTAGACGACACGAAGAGTGCATGTTTACGAATTTCTGAATACTTGTCTTCGGTCGCGTACTTCGAATAAAAATAAATTAATATAGGATTTTCAAGAAACTTCCATTTTACTGCAGAGCCACACTTTAAATCTATAAATTCTAATTGAAGTTCAGAAGGAACACATATTACATAAGATAAAGTGAAATTTTTGAAAAATTCGTCATTTTCAGAAAACATTATCCCAAATAATTCAGGCATGCCAATAAAATGTTTTAAATATCAAGAATAAGAGGAAAAAAAAATTTTTTTTTTGACAAAAAGCTGATAAGGCAATTTTTCTTGAAATTAAAATTTTTAAAATTTTTCTTTAAATTTAAATGTGGGGCCACTAAAATACCTTCAGCGGGCCACGGGTTAAAGATCCCCTATTTTAAATCTTAGCGAATTAACTCACGATGCAGCTATCTTGGTATCGAATGCTTTTATGGAATTAAGGATTTATTCATTTTTTTGTTTTGTTTATATCTCCTTATTTCTTGCATTTACCCATTCTTCAAAATTTTATTTTAGTTTTCTTTAAAATTACGGGCATTTTCCTTGACTACTGCGTTTTGTGCTGCCTTGCTTATATGCGGCTAGATCGCATAAGATTTGTAGTTTCTTGCCTATTTGTGAACATGACAATGATCAAAGGAAACTACTTACTGTAATGAATTAACGTTGTATTGCATTCATTATAAGATACCAGAGCATTTTCCTCACCAGAGCGTTTTTCCTTTTTTGGTTTTGGTTAATTCAATTCTGCGCCTGAAGTACTGAACACTGAAGGTAATAAAGCAATGCTAGACATTGCCAGTCTGTTTGCTCTACAACAACAGTTGAAACTAACCTTTTTTTTAGCTAGATAATGCATTCTTCATAAATCAAAGATCATAACTGAGACGGTTTCATAAAATGGGAGGAAGTGAAGTCCCCTAAGGCTGCGTTCAGACGCCAGCGTAAAGGGCATAGTCTAAAGTACGGGAGTTTCGTTCACACCTGCGAGAACGGGGTGTAAGCCGTGGCCAATGAGAGAAGCTAAATTTGCGCATGCCTGGATGTGTCTACAACTTTCCCGCGCTGTTCTGCTCGATTGATTTCCCGCGTTCACTCTGCTCGTTTTGTTTAAGCTTCGCTCTGATTGGTCAACGCTTATCCCAAACTCGGCGTAAAGTTGAAAACTTTGAACCCTATGCCACGAGCCCTAAACCAGATTTTGTGACGTAGCACAGAATGGTTGCCTTGGCAACGAAGCTCGGCTTTAACCACTTATGCCCTTTACGCTCCCGTCTGAACGCAGCTTAAGGCCCCGTTCAGACGAGGGCGTAAAGGGCATAAGTGGTTAAAGCCGAGCTCCGTTGCCAAGGCAACCAGTCACTGCTACGTCACAGAATCTGGTTTAGGGCTCGTGGCATAGGGTTCCAAGTTTTCAACTTTGCGCCGAGTTTAGGATAAGCGTCGACCAATCAGAGTGAAGCTAAAACGAAGCGGCTTTCTTTAGACGATTTCGCTGTTCGCTGTCACATTGAAGGCGACGTTTTTTTTAATATGGAGCACATCGTATCCGAATGAGTTGTAATCGTATCCGAACAAAATAATGAGTTGTAATCGTATCCGAACGAAATAAAGAGTTGATCTCGCAAGAAATCTACGATGATGACATGCATTTTTTAATGAGTTTTTAATGCATTTTTTTAATGAGTTTTTCAATTTATATTGAAAAATATGGATGAAACTCGTAAAGCGAAAGTTAAGCTCAGGATTATGCACGCTGTGTATGATCCTGTAGATGATTTATCCCATCCAATATTTTTCATTTTATTATAAAAATTCTTTAAAAAATGCATGCTTGCAAAAATTTTATTTTTTCTGTGTAAATTATTATTATTACTTTCTTTCTGTCTATAATTTTTTTAAAATTATTACTATAAGTTTTTTCCTGTTTGATTATTTTTGTATTTAAGAATAAATTTATTAAAAAGCTGGAAATATTGTATTGCTATTTGCTTCAAATGCTGATTTTCTTTCCAAACAAACTTCATGAATTAATTTTACTAAAACATCAAATCAATATCAAGAATCTGCTGTTTTTTTAACAGTAAAAATATTACTTTTAAAAAAAAGAAAAAATTATTTTCACTTATTTAAGAATAGTCACAATAGTCAATTCAATGGTGTAAGCTTTGTATAAGTAATAAAAGATTAATCTTTTGAGAAAAATGCTCTTGTGAATTCCAAGAAAGAAAAAAAATGTAGTGAAATATCCTTAAAACAACACAGCCAACAGTCTAGACAGTTTTGTCTCCTGTTGAAGTCCAGTTTTGTCTGTTCTGTTTTTTAATTACGTTCTCCATGAAAGGAATTTACTTTTAATGAAACTAAATAGCACACATAATTCATAACATGGACTATAATTTAATGAATAGTATTTGTTATTATTATACACTCTTTATTACTATCATTTGAATGGAGTTTTGATCATTAAATTCATGCTATTTCTCTGGTAGAAATTTCCTGGATAAGGTATGAATGTTTATAATTTTGATGTATTTGAAGACTTGGGTACCTAAAATTTGTCAATGTGAAATTACTCTTGAGATTTGGTCGCAAATAGAAATTACAGCATATGTTGAAATTAAATTCAGGGCTGCGGCTTATACATGCAAATTATTAAAAATAGATGTATACAAACAATTGGCAAGACAGCAAAATGCATTCAATGATTGAGCATAAAATATATTGTTGGGTGAACGTTTTTTAGTATTGTACTAGTTGTGGTTGGTGGTCATTGTGATCAGTTGTGGGATACTAGTACTAGTGATAATTGATACTGGTAGTACTGGTAAACAACTATAGTGATCGACAGGGACAGTGAACAAGGAGTGCTAAGCACACATGTTTCACTGTCACAGAAACATGTTCCTTTTGATTTGAAAATTAAATAATAATAATAATAATAATGTATGGTAAGTACTGTTTTTAGCTTAACTGCTTTCACACCTGCAAAATAGGAAAAATATTATATACAGGCTATCTGTTAGTTATCCTCAAGATTTTTTTTTTAATTAGGCATATTTAGAATATCGTATTTCTCCTAAGAGAAATTATATATAAAAATTGAAGAAGGTTTTATATAGTATATAAATATGCATGTGCATGTTTATAGTATAGAGAGTACTACAGTACAATGCAGAAATATTCCATACTGCTTTGCACAGAAAGATATGTGCCAACCAAGTATTGGTCTTTCAAAAAAATATCTCTAGACCATTTCGTTATTTTTCTTTTTTTACCTTCTTCCGTTGCCTCTTGGCTTATAAGAAGGGCAGATAAAAGAGCATTCTGTTGAACCAGTAAAACTTTGTGTTGAGCTGAAAAAGCCATGACACAAAATAACAAAAACGAGCAGAGCGAGCGCGAGAAATCAATTGAGCTAGAAAATAGCGCGCGAAAGGTGTAGACACATTCACGCATGCGCAAATTTAGCTTCTCTCATTGGCCACAACTTAGACCCCGTTTCGCAGGTGTGAACGGATATCCCGTATTTTATGGCCTTATGACTATGCCTCTATGTGTTTTACGCCCACGTCTGAACGTAGCTTAAGGGGCCCAAAGCCCTATTCATATTTGAGAATCTATGACATAAGTTGGAGCGGTGATTGTGCCCAAACCAACAAGGAATTTAATTGTTGCGTTGTGGATTATACCACACCATCGACAGTAACATCAGATTAGGTCTCTGATATTTGAACAAACCTATGAAATTCAGTGGCAAGGGGCAAGATTGCGCATGTAGTTGGCAAGAGCCTTAAGCACCATATAGGTGACAACTTTGTTCAGTTCCGCCTCAATTTTGATGGAGGTTACCCGGGGACGTGTCCTCTCGAGAGGTACACTACAGCCTCTCGAGAGAACGGTCGGCTTGCCGCATAATTAGAGTGCCCGCATGCCGCACAGACACTATACATTTACAAACATCCATACCTTTTCTGGGATTCTAACCCTAGCCCTTCGATACGACAGTCAGCGTTGTTAACCACTGTCCCCGTTGGGCGGCACAAGGATTTGTTCATAACATTACAGTTATATAATTTACATAATTTTGATTTTTAACTTTAGTATAAATAAGTACATAGTATTTTACGACCAGAAGTTCTGTTTGAAAGAAACAAAGCTGTAACGAATTATTTAGTTTTATATTAACCAGTTTTGTTCAGTTACTTATCTTTTCTATCTTTCGTCATTTCCATTTCTTGTCAGAATAATATTTCAGTTTCTCGTCATATGCAAAATAGGGCAGAAAGACACTACTTAACTCGGTGTCTGAGTTACTTCAGATAGAGCGTGTTCCACCATTCGTGCAAGTTGCTTTGCTGATTCAAGCTTGATATTTTACGGCTGTGCATATTAATTTCCAGTTTGTCTACGTCAGTCGTAGAGCTAAGAGCCAACTCACGTTAATTATCTCTGTACAGTTTCGTCTGATTAATTAACTCAGTTTTAATTTCATACTTATATTCTCAGTTTCATTCAAAAGTACTGGCTAAGTTTGTAAGCATCAGGATTGCCGTCTCTAAATTCCTTCTTGAATTGATTAAATGGGTCTTTTCACCCTTCCTACGTCTTGTCATTGATATAGATTGAACTTAGCGAATAGTCGCTTCATAGTTCAACAAAAGATCTAGCCAGTAAAGTAAACTTAATTTAGATAGAATCTTAAACAAGACTCAAGATCAACAGTGATGATTTATATAAACTTTGATTTAAATTTTAGTGCATATTTAGTAAGTACACATTTTAAGACCAGAAATTTTGATTGAAAGATATTATTAACAAAATTTAAAGGAGTTTTCCCACTGTTAGATTGTTTCATTATTCTTATTAATATTGAAAGGCCATCTGAAATAATAAACGATTTTTGATCCATTCATTGTACCGCTTTTATAACAAGAATAAATATCTACAGTATTTCATTGCGTTGAAAACCTGTTTAAAATCTTAATGCTTCTTACTGTTGATTGTACAAACAAGGATGAAATTTTAGAGTGGATAAGCAGTCATTCTAGTGATGAACAATGAACAGATGGAAACAAGATTAATTAAAAATGTTTATTTCTGATATTTACAGAAAGTGTCAAATAAGTTTTCTCATTGCTGTTATTTAAACTCCAGTTTAAATCGATTAACTTAAGAATGAATATTTTTCGAAACTGAACTGTCTATTTCAATTTCTATGATTTATATTTATTTGCTATTTCTACTTTTTGCTTCTCTTTCAGTTTCTTTTCTACTTTTTTACTCTCTACCTAAAAGAATTTCTTATATGTATTTGCGTCATTTATTTCGATTTAGAAAAATAACAAAAAAGTAAATAAAAAAATAATAGTTCGTAAGCAAAAATATTAATTATTTGCAAAGTACTGATATCGAAAGGAATGCATAAAAGTTTGTAAATAAAGCAAATCGGAATAAAATTTAAAAACAAATGCTAGAAAGAATTAAATATAAAACATAAATTACACATGGTTTCCAAAATCAGTTCTGCTATATTTCTGAAGGTGATTTTCAACCAGCACCGAACAGAAACTATTTGCAATGAATATATAAAGGACTACATTACAACCTACTGAACTATTGAAAGCCTGGGGCAGCAAGTTCCTAATATTTTCATTTTTTCCCATTTGCTTCTCATTAAATTCAGTTATAAAAATAAGCAAATGGTTTTTATTACAAATTTCCTTTGATAGCAAGAATTACGGTGAGTAATTAATTTCGAACTGACAGAAAAATAATGATTTTCATTTACTAAAGTTTAAAATATTTATTTTAAACTTTAAATTATATTAAGCATAATAATATTTTAGCAGAATACTGACTTTATAAACTGAGTGTTTATAATTGATCTAATCCAACGTTTAATTTCAACTAATCTGACTAGAAAATAGCCAATATATTCTGAAAGATAAATAAGCAGTTCCTCTTTTTAAGAGCGGTTCATTCCTGCAAGTACATGCTTCACAATTACATTAGTCCTGAACACGATAGACACATAATGTGCTCTATTTAATGGAATAATAACGAAAGTAAAGTTATGAAACGTATATTGTTCAGGAAGTTTTACAATCTTACCAAAGCTTCTGTTTGCTATTCGTTTATACATTTCAACACTAGACTTGCGATGTATCATTCTGTGAGTAACAGCCTGGTACTGCTTCAGGAACTCGTGTTCTGAAGAGGTTGATTCCACCGAATCCGAACGCGTTAAGGGCGGATGAGAAGCTACATCAGCTTCCTCTAGGGACAAAGAGAACACGGTCAACACACACAAAACAGCATGAAAAGTTATGCTAAAAATTTAAAGAATATTGCTTTTTATTCACATATTATTGGTGATTAGAATCTAACTAAATACAGAGATTACAAACATTTCAATCGTGGTTGACATTTTACACCAGTTATGCACACAAAAATAACATAATTTATATTAAATAATAAAATTTTATAAAATAGTTAATTTTATGCAGAATAACTGTAGAATTTTATGTAAAACAGAAAGTCACTAAAAATAAAAAAGCACATACATTTTCTAAATTCACTAGAAATGCAGAAGAAAAAATCACACTAAATGAAAATATTTATAATAAATAATATACTTATTCAGAAGTCAAACAACAAAAAAAAGCGTTATATTTACAAAATTTAATTATTATTAATTTAATTAAGCTCAGCGTTATATTACAAATTGTAAATATAACGCTGATTTTTGTTGTTTGACTTCTGAATTAGTATTTATTCGGCGTGTTATTGTGTCTTAAATAATATACTTGTTATTTTTGCAAAAAGAAGTTCTTTCATAACAGTATGGATATATTTTATATTTTAATATCCAGACGAACACAGTTTTTATTGTTCGCTACTGCCTTTTCATTTTGCATTAACAGAACTAACATCAACGACCGTGTATCTAAATAACTGTTTATTGTCCAAAAGATAATAAAATAACTTATTGAAAAGTTTTCAGATTGCCTATATTGTTCTTTTATGGTAATAGGCATGCCAATCTTGCACTGATTTTTGTGAAGGTTGTTACATCGTCATATTTGAATCTGCAGTTGGAAAGATATGGATTTCAGCATCTGATCGCGAGCAGAAACTCCTCATACGTTTGGTTTTCGGGGTAGATGAAGAAAACATCTCTGGGAAAAAATGGCAGAGGTGAGGATTAAATTTTATCTTAAATCTGCGAAGAGCGGTAATGAAACACCTGAATATTATGATATGCATATGGTAGTGAAACAAGAGGCCGTTTTTCAATATGTAAGTTTTAGTTGTACTTAAGAGATATAACATGCGAGATATCAATAAGCATGTTCTGGCAAGCTAGCCACTTCGATTACGGAAATAATTATTACCAACGCATGGGCAGAGAATTAAAGGAGACCTTTATGCAAATGTCTTGAAAACCATGAGTATAGAGTCTTGAGGAAGGAAAGACAGAATTTGCTCAAGAAACAGTAGTTACACTTAAAGAACAACTGTGATAATAAACGTTGCTCTAATAGCATTAAATACTATCTAAAAGTGATCTGTCACCACTATATTGCCATTCCTGAAGTGAAGATTTAGAGAAACGTTATTTTCCAACGTTCTCAGCTGAAGTGAAGAGGTAACTGTGCCAGAAGTGGATATCTTTAGATGAGAAAACGAAAAATGCCACGTTTGCAGTTCTAAAGAGATATAATAAAACAGTCTGTTTAGTGTTTTTGAATCTTTTACCAAACGCCATTAAATGTGTAATTTAATCTGATTCAGATTTGAAAAAGGAATATGTGACTGGGTACTTGATCTGAATAAGAAAATCAGTCTACATGAATGCATTTCCCTTAATATAAGTCGGCTTTACATATAGCCATGATTTTATTTTTGAATAATTTTTATGAGAAAGAGAGGTTTGAACACATGCAAACTTCACATGTATGAGGTTGAATGTATATTGAAGGGTTTTCTCACGAAAAGTAATTAAAAGATTTAAATGTTGTTCTGTAACTTAAAATGAAGTAAATATATTTTCTTTTAACATGAAACGAAATAACAAGTGAAGTAAATATTTTAAATTTAATTTTAAATTTTAATGTATTTTAAGCATTATACAGTGAACTGGCTAAGTATGATTTTTAGAAGAGTATTTCTACGGGAAAAATCTTAAAGCATTTGAAATAATGCCGCACTGAAATCTCTCAAACATAAAATACATCTCTTATTTAACAGCGTGGTTTTTATCAATACAAATAAAATTTCGTTCGTATCAAGTACCAGTTTTATTCCTTGTTAAGCTCATCATCGGTGCACATATATTTATTACTATTTTTCTTCTTTGCCCTAGACGCTACATCTTTCGTTTCACGCAAGAAGTATCTTATACGTGATTCACATGATCACAGATACAGTTTACTTATCTGAGACTTTCAGCAAAATCAAGAAGTAATCAAATAGAGAGACGAACTACTCGGTGAAGCAGAAAGTATTTGTATCTTTAGTATTTGTTATGTCGAGATGACAGAAACTGGCAACTGTTTATTCGCCCCCATTTGATTTTAAAACGTATGGAATTTATTACTTTCTCTTTCTAAGAAAGTCTTTCAAAGTCAATTCATAACTTTTTCAGACGAGCTACTAACGAACGATCAATACATATTTACGAAAGAACAGTGTTTTGCTACCTCAGGGAGGAAAGAGTAAGATATTATTTCAAATATTTAAAAGCAATAATAATAGCATTTCATTGTGTTACAATATTATTTCGAAGATAAAAAATTTTAATCTTAGCTTTAAAAAGGGAGCTGAATCTGTACATTATGAATACTTGCCAGATTTTACATGTTTCTTTAAATGATAAAACATTCAGCAAGAAAAATGAAAAAATAGTATATATTTTCCTTTTTAAAAATATTCCAAATTCAAACAATATGTAGATAGAAACAGAATGTACAAGGAAAGTTTTTTTTCGGTGAAATCAAAAAATTATCGATTTCTTGTTGAGAGATGGAAGTATCACTAGCTTTGGAACTCCATTATTTTATTTATAAGAAACGCAAAAATAGAATCGTTTTCAGAAATTCCTATTTGTTACTGCGGAAATGAAAGTATATTTAAAAATATGCTTCATTAACACGTCAGTAATTTGAAACAAGTACCGAGGCAAAAGTTACAGTTCATTTAACAACATAAGGTACTGTTATTTTGTATAAAGAAAGATGTTTCGAAAAAATGGTAACAATGAATTTAACGTATAAACAGTGACAAATCTTTGTACTAAGTACAGATTTATTTTCGATTAAAAATTGTAGGATTTTGAGTTTGAGTAAAATATGATATGCAACATGGATGTTCTAGGTATGAAAATATTTTGAAAATAGATTAATATTATTTCAAAGTCCACAGAAGCACCGAAAAGTCATAAATTGATCAGTTTTGAGCCCAAGAAAACTATTCTACTATTCTAAGGAAAAAGCAGAAATTTACTTATAAGGTGTGCACTATTTAATTAGCACTTTTGTACGTTCAGTTTGCTATCCAAATAATTTTTATTTATACCTAAATCTCTCAATACAAAGTTAGGTTATAACTTTTTAAACAGAAGAAAGAAGCAAGCAGCGAAAAGAGCCATGCACTAACAGAAAATTTCTTGCTTAACAGAATAAAAAAATAATATGATGGCAGTAGGTAATTAGAGTTTTGTTTTTCCGAAAAAGCGATTATTTAAGTTTACCTGAAGCTTTAGCTATTCTTCGATGCCACATTACATTCATTAATTTGTTCAGCAAGAAACTCCCTACTGGAACGGTAGCGAATTTTAGATTTCTTCATTTTGGGGGGGGGGAGTGGCGCTTGCTTTGCTTAAAACGAGGGTGAGATAATTTTGAGAGATTTCGACTTAATAATAAATAATTTTTCTCAAAATTTTCCACAAGATTATTTCAAGTCAGATAGTTTTAGATAGCCTCTTCTCTGTAGTTTTGAAATGTTTGCAATTGAGCTCTGTATCTTGTTCAGTCTGTAAGGTTAGAAGGTTCTGATTCAATTAAGCTAGAAGTTACACAACTGCGCCTGTAAAGGTTGTTTTCTTAGCATATTTAGTTTGAGACATGAAAGCAACTCTTCCAGGGAGCGGAAATCTCTTCAGAGGGCTTGGTTAGCTAGTTTTATGTCATTCAGTTCCAAAGAACTGCATAGAAGAAAATTCAAGAGAATGTCTCAATTTCCAAAATGCTTTTCGCTTGCAGACGCAGATGTAAAGGAATGATCAATAGTTGGCTAAAAGGAGTTTGAGAAACATTGAGACGTTTTTCTCATGTACAAAAACAAGGGCAATCTTTCTTCTTCTTCAAAACAATATGTTTTAAATATTAGAAGGAGCTCTATAAAAGCAATTTTACACTGAAGCTTTAAATTAATTTGTTGCTTAACTAGAAGGAGCGAGAGAAACATTTCAGAAATTCATAATGAAGTTATATGCTATTATCCCGTCTTATCAGCATGTCTTCGTGGTGTAATGGTCAGCACACTCGGCGCGTATTCGAGAGGACCGAATTCCGGCGAGGTTACTGCTCATTTTTTTCACATTTACTATTGCGAAATAACCTAATGTCTCTATAAAGTGCTTTTAGAGAATAGGAAATGATGTTAACATTATTACCGAATTTTAGAGCTATTCACCAATTTAAAATTATTTCGTTTGTTGTTTACCTGATAATTTTCTACAAGTTTTTTTCAATAAGTTCAATTTAAATTATAATTTGAAAAAGCTGCTCACATGTACAAGAAAGAATCATCATTTTCATTAACTTTTTTCTACGAAAATAGAACTTAAAATTTCATTTGAAGGAGTTTGGGGCATTCAAGTGCGCTTATGTGAACGTGAGTGAAATCTAACATCATTAATTATTACGAACATCTCCGAAACATTATAAATATCCAACATTATGAATTATAATATACATATCCTCATAAATTTTTTAAATGATTTTTCTGTTTGCAGTAAGACTTGAATGAATAAAATCGTTTAATGAACTGTCTAAATACTTTTGCTTTTAATTATTGGTAAAACCCAAACTTTGTTAAAATTAATTTCAAATTAAAAATGCATTATTATTTTATCATTGAATTAATCAGTCTCCCTTAATTGACTTCTTTCACATTTCTGCAAAGTATTTCGGGGCCCTTATTTGATATAAACCGCTGCATAATCTGAAACACCCTTTTACAGCTAAGACAACAAACACTACCTGAAACAA